GCCAGTATAGAGTATTAATGAATCAGAAAATATTAGAGATTATCATTGATTGCATAGTGCCCCATAATATGCTAGATGCATTACAGACATATAATAAAAGAGAAGTTTAAATGTATTTCTTTGGAAGGCCTTCATCATTAACTTTTGGAGCTGGAATCAGATCAAAATCCAAACTTCAACCAAATTCTGGAGCCCATTCCCAGAAATGCTCTAGATCTAGGGGGTAGCTCTCCCTGCAATGTGTGTCTATACCTAGAGGGTAACTGACTTAGGCAAGTGTGTGGGGAGGTGATCAGAGCTGTGCGAATAATTAATATTTTGGTTTGCAGGCAGTTCTGAAAAAAAATAGTTGAGTAGACCCAAAAGCAAAAACATTTGGACTTTTCAGCAGATCAAAAAGATGGACAATATTTTGTTTCGGGTCGAACAAAACATTTCAATCTCAGGCATCGTTCATTGTTTTCTAAATAAAACCGCAGGAAATGAAGGGCTAGGGTCACACAGGGACTTAGATGCCATTCACAAAACCAAGGGGGAAACCATAGTGCCTTCCCCATATGCTAGTGGGTAACGCATTCACCTGGGCTGTGAGAGATCCAGATTCAAATCTCCCATTCTAGAAGAGGGACTTTTCCTTATGTTTCCCCTGCAGTCAGTGGGTAGCTTGACCAACAGGCTGTTCAGACTCTCAACTCTGTATATATTGGTCCAAAGAGAATGACTCTACAAACTAGTGGGTAGGGCATTCACCAGCAGGGAGATACCCAGTGCCAGTCCCTCCATTGAACATTCTAAAAAAAACCCTCTTCGACTGAAACAATTCCCCCAAATCTACACCAAGTCACAAAATGTTTCCGTTGCCCCAATCTGCATTTTTTGGTGCAAAAAATTTTGCCTGAAAATTGTCACCCAGCTCTAGAAGATGCTGACATAGAGACAAGCTAGAGGAGGGAGCAGGAAGGCAGCTGGGGAGATGGGTGGAAGAGAGCACGGTTGGTATGGTTGAGTGAGGTTAGACTAGAAAAGGAATATAGAGAAAAGAAATAAAAGATCAACCTTGATGTCTCTGAGCAGCCAGGAAGAGCGTGAAATAATTACAGAAGTGCTGGGAAGGCAAATGGCTGCTTAACACCCATGCTCCCTCTGGATCTCAGATAAGGTTGTTTATTTCAGATGTTTTATAATGTCTCTAATCTCAGACAAATGAGCCTGACTGCTCCTCTTGTGTCTGTCTGAAAAGTTTGGCAGGTTGGACGTTAGAATCTGAAAGCTCCGATGGCAGAATAAAGCCAGCAGGATCAGGCCGGACCACTCGGGGATCAATGATGCGGGCTGCATCAGACACTTTGACATTGATCAGTGAGCTCAAGGGAAGGATGCTGGACCCTTCTGCACCAGAGAGAGGAGCAGGCTGCTCAACCGCCTTCCTGACTCCAGGGCCACCCAGCCTACTGCCCTCCGAAACCCTGACATTGGAGCCGTTGGAGGCTGCTCCTGAAGAGGAAACTATCCTCCAGAGGGGGCAGGAGCCCACCGCTTCCCCACCAACAAAGAGTTGCCAACTCCCAATTTCATCACACGTCTCACAGTAACTGGTGTAGTTCTTAAAGCACCAGCTGCTGGAGTCATGTGGATTCATGAGACTCTCAGCTTTTTATTTTAAGTATGTTTCTAGCCTTTGTGATTGCAGAGAAAAGCATGACACTGTGACCCCAGTGTATCCTAAAGGATCCAAGGCCAGAAGGCCCATAAGAAGAACCCCAAATGTGTTATTTGTTTTTAAATCACATGATTTTTCAAGCCAACCTCATGATTTTGGAGCCCAACTCATGGCTTTTGAACATTTGGGGTCGACAATTCTAGGGAGCTACTGCAGCAGGTCAGTAGTGATGAAGGGTGACCTACCGTATCTCAGCCCTCCAGGCCAGTGCAGAGGAAGTTGGGGTACTACAAATGTAGCACCAGTGCTGGGCATTCTCCTGTGCTGTCGTTCATTTAGTAAAGAACAGAAATTGGCATGATTTTTTTCAAGTGTTCATTCTTGCTCCTCTTCCTCAGGTTCACCGTCGCTGTTCTGAACCCCCCGTGTTGCTGCCAGTCCATTGGGATTAATTGCTTTGTGATAGTGGGGGATGGGGGAGAAAATAGAAGGGTTTTTCCAATACCACATGTTCTAAGTAGATAATTATATGGTGTAACTGTGTGACTGAACAGAGTTGCTCTCATTTTTTCATTAGGCTAATGAAGTAAACACTTGATGATAATTAGCTAAAATTACTTTGGGGATAAAAGAAAACCTAGAGAAGTGAGCACAGCAAAATCTGGCAGGGACTGTCTTTTTGTCCAATGTCAGTACAGTGCCTAGCACAGTGGGGTTCTGGTCTATACCTAGGGACCATATGCACTCTGTAATGATCATAATAAATAAGGAGTGAATCGTGGTTAAGTTAGTAGCCAAGAATTGGGTTTGGGTCCCGGCTCTGCCACAGATGTCCTGTGTGGACACAGACAAGTCACATCATCTTTCTGACCTCAGCTCTTTATTTTACATATAGGGCTACTGAAGCTTCCTGTATTGCACCCTTTGTCGTCTTCTCTATTTTAATTTTGGTTGAGACCTCTATGTGCTACTGTACTGACAGTAATAATAAATGGTGATGTCTTATGCTTCATGTGGACTCATTCACCCAAAAGGATCCAGAACACTGTATGTCAAAGGTTCATTTCATTGGCTTCTGGCATACATCCCCTTCTAGAGTGGGACTTGATAGCCACTCTGCATTCACACCTTTTGGACTGAGTGGGTAGCCAGTATTTGGGGCCTTGCCGGGTTGTTTCTGTTAGGAGGTGGAATGGAAGATGCAAGTTGGGTATTTCTTTGGTGCAATCATGTTATTTACCAAAAAATGTGCACAAAGTCCTGTTTCCCTGAACACAGCAGAAACAAACAGCAGGCAATTCCCTTGCTCCCAATGTCAAAACCTGCCTTTCCAGCAAGTCTTGTGCCTCAAGGAGCAATGTCTCTCTGCTCTCTCGCAGCCATGTGTGTGGCTGCTTATCTCACTTTCTGGTAACTTTCTGGCTCTACATTAGCACTTTTGTCAGTAAAACTTTTGTTGGTCAGGGGTATAAAATAACTGACAAAAGTTTCACTCACAAAAGTGCCAGTGTGGACAGTGCTATGTCAGCGGGAGAGTGTCTCCTGCTGACATAGCTACCACCCCTCAGTCCACGTGGCTTAGCTTCTGATCAGTGTTGCCATATGGACCACTGTCTTGGGCAGTGGCTTCCTCCTGTTTCCATCTATCACTCCATAAAGGGACATTTAATTGCTTCTTTCATTTAGATTGAATAAAGGATGGTTAGTGGCCCCATCAGCTTTAACCAGGTCCATGACTGATGGCAGCCATTAACACCTCCCAGCACAGCAGCATCCATTTGAAACTACAAGGTGAGCTGAAGGTAGGCAGGATGCAATTACTGTTATTGGTGTATGGCTGAAACAACCCTGCTTTTACAAAGATGCCCCTGGGATTTTAATGACCACAAACTGTCAGGGACTTGGATTTACATCTCCTCTGAAAGATCTTAGCTGACTTTGGCTGATGGTGTTTTTTCATGACAACTGAATTAACTACCCATAAAGAGGGTGGCTCATTCTTTGTTTACCGGGTTACCCATGAAGGCCCATTAGCAGTGCTGAAAGTTTGACCCATTTGGACACCACCAGAAATTTAGATCCTGCCCCAGAAGAATGCCAACTGTACATGAGTCTGCAGAGATGGAGGCTGGAGGACTGAGCTTTGCCAGGAGTCTTTTTCAGAGTTAATCACTTCTCTAAGGTAGGAAACAGGGCAAAAACAGCTGTCCACTCAATAGCTATCTGCTTGCTGGGAAAGAAACTGGTCTGAATTCTGAAGTCCTCTCTAAGTCCTTTGTCAAAACACCCATTGCCTGCACAAGGGCCAAGGACTTCAGGATGTGGCCCACTTTCTGTAGGTATGTGTGATGCTGCCCTCTGATGTTATGTGGACCAATGATCTGCTAGGTCACTCCAATCCTTGACACTGGGAGCCAGCCTTACCTTGCTCTGCTGTGAGAACCCCCACTCCTGGGCTGTTCATGCACAACCTCTGGCATGTAAGCTGCTCCCAGCTACTTGCAACCGAATGACACTAGCCAATATCTCTGGTCCCAGACACAACCCTAGGAATCTCCGTCTTGCAGTGTCCAGTTATGCCCGCTGGATGCTGCAAGCTTATATGAGTTCGTCAATTTAACAAAGAAATTGATATGTACCAGGTTTGTTATCCCAAGGGGAGCCTCTGACATACTTCAAACCAAACACACTGCTTCAGGTAGAGTAAACAAACAAATTTATTAACTGTGAAAGATAGATTTTAAGTGATTATAAGTCAAAGAATAACAAGTCAGATTTGGTCAAATGAAATAAAAGCAAAACGCATTCTAAGCTGATCTTAACACTTTCAATGACCTTACAAACTTAGATGCTTCTCACCACAGGCTGGCTGGTTGCTCTTCAGCCAGGCTCTCCCTTTTGATCAGCGCTTCAGTTGCTTGGTGTGGTGTCTGTAGATGTAGGTGGAAGAGAGAGAAAGAGCATGGCAAATATTTCTCCCTTTTATCATGTTCTTTCTTCCCTCTTGGCTTCCCTCCCCCTTCAGAGTCAGGTGAGCATTACTTCATCGCAGTCTCAAACTGGCCAAAAGAAGGGGGGTGACTCACTCGAGAGTCCAACAGATCCTTTTGTTGCTGCCTAAGCCAGCGTCCTTTGTTCCTGTGAGGCTGGGCTGGGTTTGTCCCATACCTTCCCTGATGAGGTGTGAACTGCCTCTCTGCTCTTGGAGAGTTTTTGCCTGGGTTTATTTTAAGCCATGAGGATACATTTTCAGCTTCATAACTACATACATGAAATTATAACCTATAACATTACTACAACAATTACTATAACAACAATGCTCAGTGCATCATGAGCCTTCCAAAGACATTTCAACCTGACAAACTTTGCATTAGATACCACACAATCATTTTACAAGGAGGAACATGGGAGTGCTGGGTGTTCCCCCGAGGTACAGAGCATCACAGTATGTTTTAAAATCAGTCTTAAGATGAAAGAAACCAATAGGAAGAATCAAGTCATCAGGACTTGGGGAGAAGGCTCCGGAAGAAGGTAGCAGTTTAGTGCAAGAAGTGAGGCTGTGAGAGACCCGACATCTCTCTTCTGTAACAGCTGTAAATCTGTGTAAAAGCAAGCGCGAGCTGCTAATTTTACCCTTCTGTGCTACAAACCAGCTATTTTTAAACCAAGTAAGAACCAATCAATGGAGAAATTAGCCTCAACATGGGGAGAAAGGCAGGAACAGTGACAATGTGATGCAGAGATCCAAATGACGAGCGCCAAGGTGTCACTATGGATGGTTGGATGAATGTTCTGCAACACACTGGTGGCTTTCGCAGACCATGACTGTAAAATCATCATAGAAACCAGTGATCCAAAAGGCCCACCAGCTCGCCCACCCCCCATCCCATCCCCATTCCAGGCAAGACTGCGCCTATAATTTATTCTTCAGGCTTCAATGAATGTTTCTCAGAAAAGGTCAGATCAATGAAACAGCTGTCGGGTTTTTTTTAGAATGTCTTCTGCATTAAGATAAATAGAAAAACTGGGGCTGGTTTGCAGATCGGGTATATGATGCCCCTATGGGGTGTCCACTCAAATCCAGACCAGGACGAACGAGTGACCCAATTGGTTGCCCATGTGAAATGCATTTGGTGATGTTCATCAAGTTGTCACTGGGACAAATGCTGAGATTCTAAGCTCTTCAAGGCAATGGTGGTGACCTCCAGTGTGTGGGGTGCAATGCCTAGTACACTGTGGGTACAATGAGAAAAGAAATAATTGTAAGTGTCCACACAGCCCAGATACAGCTACCACAGCTGGCGTTAATAGGCCCCTTAGCAGTTATCTTAGCAGAGGGGTCAGGGACTGAATGGGCCATGGAAACCAAGCTGTACTCTCCCCCTGCAGATGGTTCCCCCTCCAGCTCAGGGATGAGGCATACTGGCCAGGCAGGAGAAGTTTGTACTTTCTATTCTGTGGATAAAGAGGGGAGTTCAGGCACACAGGGCTGCCATCTCAGCATCTTCCACCAGCAATGAATTCATACAAAGTCCCAACAATCCGTGGGTTCCCCGATCACTCCAGAGGGTCTGGACAGGACCTGGCAATGGAGCCCACTGCTGGGGGAAGCCCTTGAGAAACATCCCCCATCCACTTTTGTTACCAAATACAGACACATGGGGCCAAATATGCTGCTGTTGTAAATCAATGCAGTTCCATCCCCCTGGGGACAATTCCCCACTCGGGCCGGCATAAATCAGGAGTAACCTCACTGGAATCAATGCAGCTATAGCGGTGCAAAATTGGTGTAAATGAGTGGATTATCAGGGCTGGCAATGATTTGCACTGTATGTTGAGGAGAAGCTCACCCTTTATTTGATGCTAGTTTCAACTTTCTTGCCTGGTCTGACTTGCAGGTATGTCCCGTGGGGTTGGCCCCTGCTGCATCTGGCCTGGTAATAGAACAGCACGCATTATGAAATGTATCATAATGTGTTAAAGTTTGCTAAAGATAGAATAAACAGTTGGGCTGAAAATTAATAAAAACTGTGCGCCTAAATTAAAAACACACGAAAGGTGCGAGACAGGGATCCAGACACAGGGATTATGGCACCAAAGATATTGAAAGATGACTGTGCAGCTCCTTTTTGTCCCCCACCAGTGCTCAGCCAGAAAGCTATTAGCTGGATTAAAATTTCTACTAAAAACAAAAAATAATCACACACTAAAGTCTATACTTTAAGATAAGGTGAGAGATTGACTTCATTCCCCGCATGATTGGATAAATCAGTCCAGAAAATAGTAATAGGATCTGTCTGCACCAGTAGATGAAGAACCTAGAATTCACTCTTGCAGCTTGGAGCGTTGATAGGCCTGGGATGTTTTTCACCACCAGTCTGTCTATTCATAGTGTTGATATTACTCTAACACTTAAGGCCACCAGCTGAGATCAGGGGCCCCTCATGCTCAGCTCTGCACCATCCCAATGTCAGAATCATCCTCTACATTTTTAGGGATAGAGCACTGAGATGCACAGAGATTACAGGATCTAATTTGATGGTGTCCAGTTTGCAAAATTAATTCCAGTTCTGCAGTTTCTCATTGGAGTCTGGTTTTGAAGTTTTTTTGTTGAAGAATTGCCACTTTTAAGTCTGTTATTGAGTGTCCAGGGAGACTGAAGTGCTCTCCGACTGGTTTTTGAATGTTATAATTCTTGATGTCTGATTTGTGTCCATTTATTCTTTTGCGTAGAGACTGTCCAGTTTGGCCAATATACATGGCCGAGGGGCATTGCTGGCACATGATGGCATATATCACATTGGTAGACGTGCACGTGAACGAGCCCCTGATGGTGTGGCTGATGTAGTTAGGTCCTATGATGGTGTCCCTTGAATAGATATGTGGACAGAGTTGGCAAACAAATTAGGCGTGAATAAAGACTGGGAGTGGATGGGTCACTACAAAAACTAATTTCCCCATACTAATTTCCCCCTACAGTTACTCACACCTTTGAAATGGGGCACCCTGTTTACATTGGCCTTATTACCTCTACAAAAGTGATTTTCCTCCCTTTGTACTCTACTGTAATAGCCACTTCCATTTTAATTGAATTGTGTCATTAGCACTGACCCCCCACTTGGTAAGGCAACTCCCATCTTTTCATGTATTTTTCATGTATATACCTGCCTGTTTTTTTCCACTCCATGCATCTGATGAAGTGGGGTTTAGCCCACGAAAGCTTATGCCCAAATAAATGTGTTAGTCTCTAACACAAGGACTTCTCATTGTTTTTGCTGATACAGACTAACACGGCTACCATGCTGAAACCACTCAAAAGGTGTTTCCCCAGGGAGACACAATACTTAGAGATACAAGTATGGAAGGTCTGGGCTAGACTCAACCTTTGGGCTCAGTGCTGTGCAAGGAGAGGGCATGTAACTGCATCCCCCACAGGGGGAGCCCCAGGAAGGAACTGATCCTCAGAGAGGCACAATCACTTCCCACTAGCTCCTTGTGTGTGTGTGTGGGGGGGTATTTTGCTACGGCCCTTGTCAAGACACAGTATGCCCCCATGCATACTGGCACAAGAGGAGAATCCGGAATCATGGCTTGGCCCGCTGCCTGCCCTTCCCCACCGATTTGTGCTTCTCCCTCACCGCACCCAGAGCCACAGTCAAAGGCGATCTAAGGCAGCCGGGGGTGGGTTCTTCCCTGCATAGCCACAATAGAGGTGGCCATAGGGAGACCACACCAGGATGTGGAGCCCAGCGACAGGGATACTTACATGAGCCATCATGGCAGAGCAGAGAACCCCTCCGGGACACACGGGATACAGATTAGATCTGATGGAGTATGGATTGCACTGTGGGAATATACAGGAAAGGAGAGGGGGATTGGGAGGAAGAGTGAAAACGCATTGGGGTTTGCACAGCAGAAACCCTTTGGGTCACAATTTGCTCCAGCTCCCACAATGCACTACAGAGATTTCTCACCCCTCAGGCTCTGTGCTGAAGCCAGCTAGTCCTCCAGCAGCTCTGTAATCCGTGCCCCAAAGAGTGCCTGGACCCAGCTCAGGGACTCTGCAAACACAGCTGTGTGGTTCCATTACACTTTGAAGTTGAGTGGTAGTTCCAAACAGATTAAACAGGCCGGATCCTCCTCTGGTGAAAATTGGAGCCACTGCACTTTCTTCACCATTCTGATACCCATTCACATCCGCCAAGGAGCTGGCCTAGAAATCCGGTATTATCTTTCTCCCTCCTGGAGTATTGCAGAGCTGTTTTCTACAAATAGAGAAGGACATTAATTAGATGGAAAGAGGGGGGAAAACATACACGGGCCAGCTCCTCAGTTGGTGCAAAACACTGTAACTCTAGTGACTTGGCTGGAATCTACGTAGACTTACATCAGCTACAGGATCTGGCTCACAGTTTGGCTTGAACTGATGTGACTTGCATGTGTAATTGCTTTCTAAAAGGGGATTCTTGCTCCTCTCCCCGAGCTGCCTGCAGAGACTGCCAGTAGCTCCTGGAATTTCCAGAGCAAAAGGAAGGGGAGAGAAGGATGAATAAAATATTATCAGATCAGTTTTTATACAGCCCCATGAAGCCGCTACGCCGTGCTGCAAGCTTCATTTTTAAACAAGCTCAAATCAATTCCCTGAAAGGGAAGGCAAATGTGTCAGGCTTTTATGAGAAAGCACCAAAACAGAAAAGCCTTTCTCCCCCCCATCTAATCAGACTGGAGCTGGGTTAATTACCCAGCTCTGTCCTGATATAAGCGATGGAGATTTATTCAGTACAACTCTTCCTTTATTAATGAATTACAACCCAATTTTAATCGAAGGAAGGGTGAACAAAAAATCCCTTTGCCAACACGCTTCGTTGGCTGCTGCTGTCTTTCATTTCCATAACTTCAAAGTCATGCATTTTTTAAACCAGCCTATTTTTTTTGTCCAGTTTGACTATTTGATCAGCCAAATAGAGAGAGCAAGGGAGAGACAGAGAGACCCCGGTGTACCCCTCTGCATGTGCTCCAAGCTCTAGCAAAACGGAATGCCAGGGTGTGCTGATGTTACAGCTGTTGGCCCAGACTCCTCTTTCACTTGCATTGGTGCAACTACACTGATTTCAGTGAAGATGCATCATGAGAGCAGGATTTGTCCAGATTAGCTATGGTTCCCCTCTCCTAATCTGACCCTTCTCTAGGGCACAGGTGAGCAGAAGAATGAACACACCCACACCCACACGCTCCCCTACACACACAGAGTTCTCTCACCTCTCAGTTATATACATACACAAATCTCTGTGCACTCTTCCAGACACACACAGCCCTACACACACACACATTTATTCATACTTAGACACATAGATCTATTCATACACACAAACACATTTATACACTCTCAGGCATCCAAGTACGGCTGCATCTGCTAACCCCCCCCCCCCCGATTTGAATTCAATTCTTTCTTGGTCTGACAAGCTAGAGACATGTCAAAGCACAAAAGTGACAGATTCCAGGTCCCTGGCAGAGGCAGGTATGATCTGGGCTTCCCATTGTCTTGGGGTTTCATCCCCTCTATACATCTGTCACTAGCACCCATTCCTGATCACTAGCAGGTTATTACATGGCAAGACCGCAACACCATCTCTCTCCCCTTGTCTCCTTTCTCCTCACAGCATTGTGATAGAAAAATCTGTCATGATTCTGGGTAATTTGAAGAAATCTCTCCTTGCACATCCTGGAACTGCGTGACTCCCCTCTCCTGGTATTTCCTCTGCTCTATGGCTGCACAGCTGCTTCTGTCTGGCTTTGCACTATACTTTGTGTTTGGCAAGAGTCTGCCTTAGCTTTGCGCATTTCATTGTAGCAAAATAGTCTGCCAGCATGATAGTTCTGTGCAGGGATCTGAAGCAATCTAGACTGTTTTCCAATACTCTGTGATTCATATAGGGGTGTTTTAAGTGTGAACCTAACATGTTGGGCATTGTGGGACACTGTTTGCACTGCTGGTGGAGAATTTAGAGACACACACATGTTGGCATATAGTCACACACATACACAAACACACCTGCACACTCCCAGAGACACCCATGCATCTGTACATCCACACCCACACATCCATCCATCCATATACCTATACTCTGTCTCACACACATACACACACACAGAGCTACACTTTCTCACATACTCACATGGCCACACAGCCACTCATACACAATGGTGCTGTCTCTCTCCCTCTGTCTCAAACTGCAGACTAAATGAGGAACATATGGGCTGATGTGATTAAAAACAAGTTAATTGCTCTGGATCCCAGCATCTCTTCCCTTCTCGCAGCCATTACAGCTCGGGGACAGGGCCACTTTCCTTGATGTCTATTTGCCTGAGTGAAATTCTCTCTGAGGTAGCTGGAAATCAGCTTCAGCATGGTTCAGCTGGGGCAATTTGCTGTTCTCTTGATGGGTGTGAAACAGGGGGCAGGGAGCAGGGGATTTCTGGCTAGCACTTCCATTGGATAGTAGCTGCTCCAGACAAGACTTCTCTAGCCTGCTCTTTCCTAGCTGCAGACATGGCACCATCACCTCTCATCACTTCCTCCCCTCCCCACCCTCGCTGCTACTTGCTGCACCCACATTGACGGGTCCAGATTATGGCCACAAGGTGTTTTATGGAAGCCAGAGTTCTTGCTGTCAGTTGCTCACTCTGAGAGACTGGGGTGATGACGGCTGCGACCTATAAAGCCATTGCTGGAATGGCCTCATCTGATTTCCTGAGTGTCCAATGTTATGCACATTAGCCACGTCCTTTGATGTCCTCTGGCTCAGGCCTTCTTTGAGTCTGCAACACCAGACGACAGGCCCTCAGTGCAGCCGGCCTTCTGAGACATCCCCTTTCTTCTCGTGCCTTGATCTCTTGGTACTCTGAACTCCAGCACCTTTGTGGGCTCTAGGGTGACCAGACAGCAAGTGTGAAAAATCAGGACGGGGGAGAGGGGAGGGGGGTAATAGGAGCCTATATAAGAAAAAGCCCCCAAAATCAGGACTGTCCCTATAAAATTGGGACATCTGGTCACCCTAGTGGGCTCTCTTGAAACAACCCACAGGTGGCAGGTTCTCTAGAAGCCATCCTCTTCCAACTGCTTTCTGCCTAGCACTGCTATTTCTGAAGCACCCATCACCTTGGTATCTAAGGACCAGATCCCCAACTCCCATTGAAATCAATAGGAGATTGGCGCCTAAATACCTTTGAGGATCTGGGCTTAATTGCCCCAAATCTGAGTATTACAGTAGTCTCTACACAAGCTCAGAGCCCCATTGTGCCAGGCACTATACAGACACATATGGGCAGGTCTACACTAACCCCCCAATTCGAACTAAGGTACACAACTTCAGCTACGTGAATAATGTAGCTGAAGTTCGAAGTACCTTAATTTGAACTTACCTCGGTCCAGACGCGGCAGGCAGGCTCCCCCGTCGACTTCGCGGTACTCCTCTCGCCAAGCTGGAGTACCGCAGTCGACGGCGAGCACTTCCGGGTTCGACTTATCTCGTCCAGACAAGACGCGATAAGTTGAACCCAGAAGTTCGATTTGCTTGTTGCCGAACTACCGGGTAGTATAGACCTACCCATAGTGAGAGACAGTTCCTGCTCCAGCGAGCTCACAGTCTCCATAGGCAGACAAAGGAAGCATTATTATACTCATCCGACAGCCAGGGAACGGAGACTTAGATATATTGAGGATCTGGTTTACAAAGGTATTTCTGTGCCTAAGGCTGCACATAGGCACCTAGTGGCATTTACAAAAGCATTTAAGTGGTTAGACGCCTAACTCCATGTAACTGTGCAACTGCCTCCCAAATTCCACCTCTTGGCCTGGGGTGGTGCTGTGGCACCCTGCCTCAGTTTCCCCTCTTGGACTCCTCAGTAACTCAACCGGTCCATAGCACTAAAAGCCTTCCCCTTCTGCGGTCCAGTGTAGAACTTCTACCTACAAAACAGAACTCATGCTTCACCCCACTGGGCACAGCTCCACCTCCCTGAGGAGCTGTCTCCCTTTACCTTCCTATCTCCTCGAATCCAGAGCCGCCAGAGATGGGTTCAGTTCAGTCTCTCTCTGGGAAGCAGGAGCCTGGTCCTCAAGGCCCCAACCCCAGTTCAATGTCTTTCTTCCCTTTAGTCAGGAGTCTCCAATCCTCCTTCCCAGGGCTGCGTTCAGCTCCCTCACACCCTGCTGGAGCCAGGCTTGTTCCCTGCAGCTGCTTCCTCAAGCCAGCTGAAGTTTCCTAGGCTTCTGGCCTCCCAGTCTCTCCTGGCTGGAGTATTACCGGCTCGAGCTCCTTTTCAGTCCTGCACCCAAAGCCAGCCTAGCAAGGCAGAACTAATTGGACACGGCTGGCTGACCCAAGGCCCCTTGGTCCTTAAAGGAGCAGGTGGCCCTGTTACACTCCCACTGAAAGTCATTTAGGTGATTTTGTAAATCCCCTGGGCACCCAAATACTGTCACCCTGAGAGATTGCACCCAAGTTAGGAACCCAGAATTTCTGAACTACAGTGCCCCGACCACACAACCATCCTCCCTCCCGGAGAAAGGTATCTCATGCCCTGTTTGCACACGTTGCACTGGTTTAACATAAACCAGGATAGTCAATGAGCTGGGATTCCAGGTCAGGGCCGACTCTTAAAGGAGAGTTTCATAGAGAAGCTTGGCTCATCATTTTCTGTATTCCCCATGCTATTGTAGGAATTATTAGTGTTCCTTCCTGATATTTGTGTTTGGAGAAGAGCTTTCTCTCCAGCCCCACCCCTCACTAGGGTTGCCAACCCTCCCAGTTTGGCTGGGAGTCTCCCAGAATTGGGCTCAATCTCCTGGAGGCTACTGAAGCTAATCCGGGAGATTTTAGGCCATTACAAATCTGGCGGCGCAGCGGGGCTAAGGCAGGCTCCCTACCTACCCTGGCTCCACACTGCTCCCAGAAGCGGCCAGCATGTCTGGCCCCTAGGTGGAGGTGCAACCAGTGGGTCTCTGTGCACTGCCCCCACCCCGAGCGCTGACTCTACATCTCCCGTTGGCCAGGAATAGGGAACCGCGGCCAATGGGAGCTGCGGGGGGCAGTACTTGCAGGCAAGGGCAGTGCGCAGAGCCACCTGGCCACCCTTACGCCTAGGAGCCGCTGCCGGACATGTCGCCGCTTCTCAGAGCCACCCGAGGTAAGCACAAAGCCAAAGCCTGCACCCCGCACCCCCTCCTGCACCCCAACCCCCTGCCCCAGCCCCCTCCCACACCCAAACTCCTTCCCAGAGCCTGCACCCCTCACCCCCTCCCGCACCCCAGCCCCCTACCCCAGCCTGGTGAAAGTGAGTGAGGGTGCTGGAGAGCGAGCGATGGAGGGATGGGGACTGGAGTGAGCAGGGGCGTGGCCTCAAAGGGCAGGGCCAGGACGGGGCAGGGGTGGGGCAATGGTGTTTGGGTTTGTGAGATTAGACAGTTGGCAACCCTACCTCCCATCCAGTCTCTCCTGTTGGATGATAATAGCAATTCTTTGCATTTCTACACCTCTCTACAAACATTAGCATATCAACTGTCTTAACACCCCTATGAGTGGGGAATTAGTATCCCCACTTTGTAGGGTGACAACATTCACCACAGTAAAA